ATGTTTTAACTTCGGGAGGTGGTCACCCTGCTTCCACTGCTGCATTATCCAGACCCAGCCTGCAGACCTCACTACCCGAGTCCTCTACTATGGCCAGCGACAACCAGGCGGCTGATGGCTTCATAACGGTTCAGAGGAAAAGGAAGGAAAATCATCCTCCTCCTATCCCTTCAGGGGTGCCCAACCCTCCAAGGTGAAATAGGACTCTGCTTTTTGGTAACAAAAGCGGCTCATCTCTTTCAACGGTACCCAAGAGAGTTAGAACCAAGGCACTTTTTGTCTCCCACTTCTCTCCTGATGTAACATCAGCTGACGTTGAGCAGTCTTTGAAAGATCAATTGGAGCTTGCTTCCCTAAAATGCACTAAGTTAAAAACAAAATTTAGTTCATATTCCTCATTTCACATTTGTTTCGGAAGATGATTTTCATTTAATTAACAATACAGATGTCTGGCCAATTGGTTGTCTAATCACCCCTTATTACGGTCGATTAAATCTTGACCAGATTTACTCTGCGGAAAAGTCGGCCGCGTCTAGGCCCCCTTCCCCTCCGACAGGTGTTCCTACCCCTGACCATACAGGTGGCTCTGTTAATCCTGAAGGAGCCCCGGTGGAGGGCATCGACATACTTGAATAATGGCTAACACTAGCTACATGAACACATGTGCTTCAGGCAGGTCACATGCACAACCTGTAAAATGTTTTGATATTTATTATCAAAATGTCGGGGGCCTTCGGACCAAGCAGTTCGAACTTTACAGTAATGTCTGTTCTACCAATTACAATGTCCTCTGTTTGACTGAGATGTGGCTTAATGATTTGTGTTTAGATCATAATCTATTTCCTGACAGTTACACGGGTTTACACTCCTATCGGGTGTCTGCCAATAAGACCCATGGTGGTGGAGTTCTTACCGCCCTCTCTTCTAGAATTCGCTCTTTTAAACATAGGTATGACTTAGAATCCTATAACAAATGTGTCTGGGTTGAAATTCCCACTCTGGACAATCAAAATTTGCTCGTTGGAAACCATTATTTTCCCCGATACCAAACGTGAAGTCACTGCCAATTATTTTTGCTCTTCAGAAGATAGGCTGGATACCAAAAACTTTCAAATTGTCATGGTTGGGGATTTCAACACTCCTGGTTTTGACTGGAATCATGGTCTGGCCGTTCCTGACTGCCATTATTACTCTAAACTCAGAGGTGATGCGATCTACACCTCCACATGTCTACTTAACCTGCAACAGTGCATCGATTCTGTTGGCAGCAGCAATTTGCTTGATTTGGTTTTCAAAAACTTTAATGACTATAATATTACCTTTCCTGACTCAGGAATAATAGAGCCCGATACTTATCAGTTATCACCCTCCTGTGGTTATTGGCATTAGTCTGCCTCTTGTTAATCCTACTCAAAATTGTGAGTATTCATATCATAAATATACAGCTGGTGATTATACCTTATTATATAAATATTCTCTCAAATTATGACTGGTCATGTGTACATGACACCACTTCTGTAGACGCTGCTGCCGCCAGACTCAGTGCGGCTGTCCAAGATGCTATGGAGCAAAGCAATCCCCCGTGGTTTCATCACAAAGTCTAAATTACCACATTGGTTTTCCAGTTCTTTACGAAACTACATCAGGAAAAAGAACTACTTTTACAGGCGCTTTAAGAAGCATAAATCCACCAGCCTATATGATACTTTTTCCTTCTATCCTAAACTAGTAAAAGCTACAATAAAGATCAACAGACTCAGATGATTGGAGTCTATTAATGCGAAACTTAAGACACAACCCAAGCAATTTTGGAAATACGTGGTGTCCTCTAGGAAAAAAAGCTCCACCTCTATTCAACTTAGAGTTGATGGTACTCATTTGGTAGACCACTATGAAGTTGCCAACAGCACTTTCAGTCAATATATAATAGTTCATCTCCAGGGGTCTTCCCCTCCCTTTCATCACATCACGGAGATCTCTATCTTTATCACCTATTTCTGATTCAGACATTTTTAAAGCCATTGCATGTCTGAAACCATCCAAATCTGTCGGTCTTGATAACATCCCTGCATTTGTCATTAAGGGTTCTTCTGATATACTAGCACCTGTCTTGAAGCATATTTTCAATCTTAGTCTCTCTCAACAATGTTTTCCTGCATTATGGAAGCAAGCGGCAGTTGTTCCTATCTTTAAGAAAGGCAATAGTGCCTTAATCAACAACTACAGACCTATTTCGATTCTTAACAATTTTTCGAAATTATTTGAATATGTTATCCATGACCATGTTTCACATGACCTCAAGTTGAAATTAAATCCCTGCCAGCATGGTTTCACAAAATGTAAATCCACCACCACCAATCTAGTAACGTATCTTGATTTTATTACTCCCCTAGTTGGCTCTCAATGTCAAGTGGATGCCATTTACTTTAACTTAACTTCTGCTTTCGACCTCATTCCCCACTCCTTGCTTCTTCACAAACTGAGTGCCCTTGGATTTTCTGATGGTTACGTAAACTGGATACACAGTTACCTAACCAACAGACAATTGCGGGTCCGTATTGGTGAAACTATTTCATTGCCCTTTGAAGTACTGTCCGGTGTTCAACAACGATCTGTTCTTGGGCCTCTGCTTTTCAATGTCTATATAAATGACTTATGCGATTCAATTAAGCATTCCAGGTACCTACTCTTTGCAGACAACATTAAACTTTACCGTGCTATTAGCTCCCCTGAAGATTGTAATCTTCTGCAATATGACGTTGACTGTATACGTAGCTGGTGTGCAGCGAACTATATGAAACTCAACGCTGACAAAACCAAAGTTATAACGTTCTCTAGGAAAACTAACTATTTGATATACAAATACAAACTTCTTCATTTCACTATAACTCGAACATATTCAGTCAAAAACCTGGGCGTATACCTTGATTCTAAACTTCATTTTCATGATCATGTTAATTTTATATTTTTACAGTGTATTAAGATGCTAGGTATAATTCGTAGTATCACCTTTAACTATTCAACCCTTGGATGCATGTTCATTTTATACTTTACTTTAGTTAGATCCAAGGCTGAATACGCTTCAGTAGTTTGGAATTCCATTACATCAACTGATGCAAACAAACTAGAACGCATTCAGCAGAAATTTACAGGTCTCTGTTTTAAACGTTTTTGTCCTCAAGTAGATTACTGTTACAATTTTGCTTTAGAACAATTGAAATTGCACACCTTGCAAAAGAGGAGATATCGTCTTGATGTGCTCTCTCTTATTCAAGTTTATCGTGGTTCTGTTCTTTGCCCTTCGGCTTTGGAAATTGTTGGCCTTCGGGTCCCTGTTCAATATATCCCAGACTTTCCTATGTTCAATGTCTGTTCTCTTAGTAAAATTTGCCCCTCTGCTAGATGCGCTTCTGCTGCTAATATTGTTTGTAGAGACGCTGACATCTTTGGACCAAAACCTCTGTTGATGAAACATATCTTATACTGAACCAATTTAACTATTATTATTATCATTAATTTTATTAATTTCATTGTTATTATTATTATAGTTTAATGATAATGGAATTATTATTACTGTTATAATTATCACTTATTTGTTTGTTTACTTTTACTCATTATTATTTCTTCCAATTACTTAACTGTAATTTGTATTTGACTTTTAATAAGTTTGTATGTAATGTAATTCAGTCATCTACACTGTGCTGAGTCTGTAATTGGCCTTGCGGCTGTTGACTCGGCACATTAATAATAAAGAATTGAATTGAATTGAATTATTGTATGCTGCTCTATTTGAAACTCAAATTCTCACATTGTGGCTTTGTCTGTGTATGTTTGCTTCTGTATCTTTATTCATGCTAAATGTGTAATTAATATAGACTATCATTTTTGTATTTTCTTTTTTTAATTATTTTTGTGTATTTCTCTATTCATGCTAGCTTTGTAATTGGTCTCTGTGCTGTTAAGTTTGCACGTAAATAAACGAACTGAATTGAAATATCTGAACTGTGCCACATTTTCAAAACATCTGTTTCCTATCTTTATGTCATGATTTTGCCCTGCATATTGGTGACAAGACAGTAACATATACTTAGTTTTCTCTGTGTTTACTTCTAGACCAACCTCTTTACTTGCGTCAATTAAAGTTTGTGTTTTTCTTCATGGTATCTACATTATCACCAGTAGATTCACATCGTCGGCATAGACCAACAGCTGATGTGTCCCGAAAATGCAAAAAAGAAAATCCCTATACTTTCAAAGGTCATGAAAGATTTGAATTGCATATCAATTTAATGAAACTGTACCATAAACACAACTTCATACATTCAACCAATATTTAACTACAGGCTCTCCTGCAGCCATCGTGTGGTGGAAAATATTTTTGGTATATTTGCGACTAGATGTCAAGCCACTCAACCATGATCCAAAGAAAATAAACACAAAACTGGAAATTAATTTTATAAAATGCAAAATATGTCAGTATCGAAACCCTGTACTGTCATTACCTTCAAAATTGACCACATACGGATAGTGTTAGTAACAAATATTGCAATGGGTGCTGAAGAAACTAGCTTTTACACCAGTGCACCAACACAAAATATGAAATATAGCATTTACTTCTGTGAAATGTGCATATTCTGAAGAAAAAAAATCAATAAAGTCTTGTGAAGAAGCACTGAAGAAAGAGCTTTCACATATTCCTGCTTATAATGCTAACTTCGATTCACTACTGTACTCACACTGCCAAAAAGGAAAGCTTTGGAACCATTAGTTTAGTTTATGAACATACCAAACTGCTGAACTAAAGCATTGTCATACTACTTCTGACTCAAGAAACTATTAATATACATATATACTATATACACACACACACACACATGAAGACCAGCAATGGACTTCATTGTTCTAATGTCAAATCAGTAAACATTCATTTCTGTGTTGTGCACACCATGTACATCTAACTTACCTAACTACTGTGTTCAGAATTATAGTACTTACAGAAACATATATCATATATACACACAAATGTTCATACATCCAAAGCACATAAACGAAGCAGTTATTTTTATCATACACATCAGTCTGCTCGTTTTGGATAACAAGCTTTTTGTTTTACCATTATATTCCTATTTACACAAAATCAAGAGAATGTATTTTATTCCACACCTCAGATCCGTAACAATATTAAAGATTATGTGAATAATTTTACATAATGTTTGAAATCAAATACATTATACAGAATATTTACTTTATTTGTTTAGCACTGGGACTCTGAACTGTCATCTGGGGAGTGTTCAATTCACTTAAACTAATATCCACAGCACTGTTCGATTCTGGAGTAGATGGTGAACGCCATTCATCTACCTCATGGCCCTCAAACATGTCCACCATGTCTAAGAGATTTGTTGAGTATGTTGCCAGTTCACCACCTGAAAGCAGTGAATCAGCCAGTAAGAGAGAATACACGTACAGCATTCCATAAGACATTGAATATTTATAAACAGCAAGATTTTCAGAGGGAAGATGTGCTGAAATATATATTTCAACTCAGAATCTAGCACAGCTATCGCCGTTGATGTAATTCCGTATTATAAAATATGCTCAATATGACTGTAATTCCACATTTTCCACAATTTTATGCCTTAGTTTTTGCAAAAGCTAAATGCAATTTTTGTCATACTTCAAAGCGGAGTTTAAACATAAATATGGCCCATGAAACACTTGATTGTTCACAATAAAAGTAATTATGAGGGAAACGCTGGCAGACAATGATAGGGAGCAATCTGTACTTTTATTCGAAGTAAGAGAATAATAATAATTCAAATATTTATTATTTATGTGCTGAGCCAACAGCCACAAGGCCAATTACAAACTCAGCACAGTGTAGATAGAAGTAGTTACATACTGGACAAACAAAACATAAAGTCAAAGAATAATTAAAGGTAAATACTGGAAGAAAACAAATTACTGCATATATTTAAACAAACAAACAAAACAAATAATAATAATAATAATAATAATAATAATAATAATAATAAT